AAATTTATTAAATAAAAATTAAAAACATGAATTAAAATTGCATCATAATAATAATATTTTCAAATTTGTAATATATTCGTTCTTAGTCTTTGCATTTTAGGCCACAAACTCAGTGATGTCTTGTTTCAATACTTCAAGCTCAGATGGGTCAACTTTGTTAGCTGACATGATCGATGATAATTTTATATACGAAGGAATTATTCAACTTGCTTTATTAATACACAAAATAAATACAAAAAGTTCAGGACATAGCCGTGATACATGATGTCTATGCTAATGATGGACTATTATACACATCATCCCTTAATATATTTTTCATCCTTGCTCTCTTATTAGCAGGAGAATCATCAACTTCTACCCTATCTTTTAACGATTGAGAATATACCCCCTATACCAAAGCAAAAGCAAAAATTTTGTATATATGTCCTGTTAAAATAAAAAAGATATATGAACACCTTAATCAAATACCACTTTCCATGCAGAACGTTTGATTGTTAAAGATTTTCTACAATCTTCATATATTATGTCTGCCATTCCTTTACTTATATCATATATTATGTGAACGAGAGTCACTTCTGGATATTCTGATCCAAAATTATCAGTTAACTTGTTATTGGTGGTACAGAGGTTAATCATGTACATGGAACATCCATGTAGATTGTTGTAATAATTGGCACGAACTAAATGTTCATCAAAATTTTTCTTATTGGCTTCGACGACAAGTTCGAAACCATATGTGGCTGATCGTGATCACGGAGAAAAATGTCCAAACGTTTACGTCGATTACCATTAACATCACGTTCTTTGGCCTCAACGATTACTCGGTACTGTAAAGCTGGATAAACATTGGATAGTAAATATTTGAGAACGGTGGCAAATTCGGCTTGAAATGCATATTCGGATGGATTACCATCAACATTAAGAGCCTGTTGTACGAAGATGTGTTGAATGGCGAGGTTCTAATAAGACAGATCACTTAGTTAAATTTTTTCACTATTCTATACACAACTTTACATATGAATACTCACTTCAATGGTGTTTTCTAATAACCATCGGACATCAATTTCATCCTTCGCTTGAGGTGGGCTTGTTATATCAAATTCAGGACCATATATCATTGAAAGCATTATACTACGAAGGATTGGCGAAGAACATTCTAATTCTATATAAATCTCATTTGTTGTCCTAGAAATAACAATCCCTTCCGCAAAGAGTTGATATAGCTCATTGTCATCATAATCACACTTTACCAAAAGCAAAAAGTAAGTAACATATTAAATCAGCAACTGACAAGTGACTGGACTTACCTTATAACTGTAAGATCCATAACGGAGGACCATCCCAACAATATCTGTCTGTTTTGATGAAAGTTGCTTGATGGCTCGAAAAATAGATCTATACGTGCCCAGTTCTTTAATGAATTTTATTAATCTGGTTGAGGAGTACCTCATCCAGTGGTCGTACAATAGCTCATTCTCATTCACCATAACCTCCGTTTCAATTGCTTTACAACAAGCACCAACAAAACCTTTATACCCCTTAGTGCGTTCAAAAATGTCTTCAGCAATCCGTTTTATGTCGAGTTTAAGTCCGTATTGATTTCTGTATTCACTCAGAAGCATTTCGATCTCTTCTTCATTAAAAAAAGCCGGAATGATAATACTACTAGATGTAAGCTCAGTTTGAATTGGAAACTGACCAACTCCCACTAGTGCAAATGAGTGTACACAATAAGCTAAGCGGTTCTTGAGAAACTGCAACGTATTGACGAATTCTTCAATAATTGCAGAATTCTTACCAAAAAGATTAGAAAATTCGTCAATGATGAAAGAAATGGGTGGCGATTTACCTCTTTCAAAGAAACTCAAAAAAATGTCCGCTGTACACTCTTTTGTATCGTCAAAAGAAAACTGTTTCCTATTCCTGGCTCGAAATATTTTGCATACAGACTTCCAAAAAGCATTCTTACCGTTATTGATATCAAGTCCAACGCTGAATGTGACAACATAAATCTCGAGATTGGGAACAGGAAATTCGTTATCATTTGATTTCCTTTGGACATAGTTTGCTGTTGCTATAATAGATGTCGTCTTTCCACTTTGGCGAAGCCCTTCTATGAAGATATAATGTCCATCTATTAGCCTCTGTCCCAAATCCTTGACTGTGTTTTCGGGAGTAATGTAGAAGTTGGTACACTCGTTTGCTTCGGTGCCTTCTGAGAAATGCTCTGGAAAAGAATACAAACTTTAGATCGTTTTAAAACAGGTATTTTTTTTATAACTTACTGAAAGGTTTTATCTTTCTTTTCTTAGCAGAATTTGAACCTAAGCGACTTTCTTCATGAGTCCGTTTCGGGTATTTGTTTTCCTTTCCCTTTTTTGCTCTGGATTCCTATAATAATATGTAAAGAGAGATGTGTGAGTAAAGATACTTAACATAAGGAAGGTACGTAGCCGATTCCTCCTCCAGAATCGGCAGACCTTAATCAAAGAACCCATAGCAAGATGTGCACGTCGCAGAGGTAAGTCGAAGCACTCACAGTCTGGACGCTCTTCTTCCCCGTGTCAGGGCGTAGCACACTTACTATCTCGTTAATATTTTCACATTTCTGGAACGTGTAAAATACTAAACTTCAATTTCGATAATTGGAGCTTCAGCTTTAACGCCTTCTGACATGCTCTCGATTTTGCTTCTAAGTTCTCTATTAAAGCGTTCAGTTCTTTTCCCAAATCACGGTGTGACGACCGAACTGAATTGGAACAATTTTTGGAATAAAACTGTTCCCACGTAACTATACTCCACTGATCATGTGGTCTCTTCCAGTACTCTGGAATATATTAGAAAAAATATTAGAATGCTCCATTATTATTAATAAGTGACAAATATACTTACCATTGTGGCGAACTTTGCTCAAAATATCTTCCGATAACATTTGAGAACAAAAAATAACAGAGTATAGAAAGGAAAAGGAAATAAGAAGGTAAGAGTTGTTTAATAACTAGGTGTAAAATTACTTGTAGGACTGACATTAACGCGAAAAAGATTTAGCACGCGAAAAATTAAGCTACACGTCTGGGCGTCTGGTCAATCATTTTTAAAATCCGAAGAAGAGCTGATTAGTCCGAAGGACTATATTTGTGGTATGTAGGTTTATGCAATGTTTCCCTGTCCTGCATATTTACAGAAGTTACGATATTGATGCATTTTAAGTAAACAGACATATTGGAAATCAAAAACGGCCGGACTTTATAACCCGTTTTCTACGTTTCCTAGTATGCATGACAACAATCAGTTACACGAATAACATTTACCGAAAATATTTTCCATCACTTAGCTAATATTTCCCACAAGAGAACTACATGATGTCTAACATTACTGCGCATTTATTTATCAAGTTCAGATTCATATAGGACGCGATTTATTTGATCCAAGTAGGACTTTAGGTCTCACTTTTTTTATTCATCATACATCCGAAAAAATATTCTTGATCAATGTATAGCCTTTTCGGCCGAATTCTTTATTGATTCAGTAAATAAATGAACTAATATACATGATTATCCCGTATATTGAGCATGATTATTTTGATGATCACGTTTCGAGTGAACATAGAATATGCGAAAAAATTAAATATATGAATTACGTGTATTATAAGATTATTGATTATAGGAGACCGAAAGTTTTGGATGCTAGACATACAAACTCCTTAATTTTTTGTATCCTATTAGGAATAACGATTTCCGGTTTTTCGTCGTACCATACTTCAAGAAGGGAAATTCCATGATCTTGGCATATACATCTTTTTTGCCGATCACGATTAACAATGTCTTCGAGTTTTTTAACATCTTTATACCAGCTAGTGTTATGAAGCCTATGCTGAGCCCCTTGCACCTCCAATGCAATTTGATAATTTTGGAAGAAGGCATCAAGCTCTAATCCATTCAAGAAAGAAGGGTGATACTCAATTATTGGCTCCTCACGAAGAATTTCCTTAGCTATCTGGATACATCTTATCTGAAATTTGCGATTTTTCTTGGATTTCAGTTCCTTTTCATATTCTTCTATAATTGATTTATTCCTTACATTCTGAGACTTGATATCAAGAATTAAAGCCTCAATACTCTCTGGGTTTTGTGAACTAAGATGTTTTAATTTTACTATATAATCCTCAAATTCTGTGTAATATTTTTTGGTAGATTTTAGAAATTCGACTTTTTTGGCTTCAAACTCAGCTTTCTTAGCCTTAAGCTCAGCTATTTCAGCATCAGTCACTGAGAGCTTGTTTCTAAGATAGGGGATTTCGACATTTTCAGCTTCAAGCTCAATAATCTGTTGTCTCAATAAATCTATTTCAGATTGCATTGCCTATATTGAAACGATAATTATTTTTTATACTCTATATGTTAGTATTCAAAATCAGCAAAATACCCCCTTTGATCAAAGATCCTTTTTTTCTCATAAATTCAGCTCGAAAAATGAAAACTATCTCGATAAGCTAATAGGATAAGCAAGTAGGGTTAGCTATTTTCTGCAGTGCCAAAGGTACAAGGGAGAGTGAATAGCTACCAGAATTTTTTAATCAGAAAAAATAAAGAGACAGACGCTATGCATGGATCAGCAAATTCTTCTGAGCTAGTGATTACCACTTCAGACTAATCAGAGTATCTTAAACAGAGAGGCATATTATTACTATAGACATCTTCCCTCTGATTCAATCTCATCCTCAAAGCTCGAATATTCAGACTCTGTTTCAGTGTATTTCGAATCATAATACTCACTTAGATCAATATTTCTCATAACTTTATGATGTTTGAAAAATTGGTTAATATGACTTCTCCATCTGATTCTGTTACAATAAATTCAGGAAATAATAGCTCGTAGAATGTATGCAATGAAAGAGGTAATTCCCAAAGATTTTTTCTACAGCAATATTGACTTTTTCCCTTTCTTGTTCTTCGATCTCTTTAGGTTTATTAACATATCATGATGGGGTTTGATGTCTGTCAATAGCATATCCTGTATGCATTAGCCATACAGTTCCTAAAACCAAATCATATTCAGGCTTATCAACAACTACAAAATTTGCTATATCTTTTCCAAAATATGAAGGGGTACTATACCATCAAAGATATTTGGCAAAGTGACTGAAACTTCTTCTCTATCAACCCATCCCCTTCTCATCACTTTCTTGCTAGCATTTGTTGCACCAATGCCTAGGTCTCTAACTGCAGGATATCCTGATCCATATTCTCTAGAAATATATAAATCCATTTTTTTGGGCAAGCACCTTACTAATGCTACCATGAAAGGATTTGGGATCAATAAGTGCTTTAACAGTTACTTTAGCTCGAATGAATGTACAATCCACTATTAATCTTTTGCGAATTTCTCGAATCACCTCATCTTTCCATATATTATTTATACTGCAACATTTTTTAAGATCCTGTATTGAAAGATTTTTTGGCGTAAGCTGATCAAGTAAATTAACTGTATTCATTTTATATAATTCGGAGATTTTTAATCGAAAAAAATAAGGCACAATCTGTGGCCCAGTAAAAAATCTTCCGAGTGATGATCACCGCTCCGGACTAGTTAGATCAGTAGAGTACCAGCATTCTGGGGCTAATATTCTTTCACCAGCTCTATGTCGCCGGCGCATCTGATTATTTCGCATACTTAGATCGGTAGAGTACCAGCATTCTGTATGATCGGCTAGTATTCTATCAAAATAATTTCTTGGTGATCGTCTGTTTATAGCTATAATAGGATGATCAGTACCAGAGTCAACTATCATAGATATATTGGAATTAGGTTGTCGGAATACCTGGTGAAACTGAGTTCTAATATTAACAACTGGAGGCTGTGTTGATATTAGATCTATCACTCGCTCTATCTCAGCTCGAATATCATTCGGATCCCGGTAATTCTCGACATGGGTATTTGGATTGAGTTGATCCACAGCCTCTTTGCTAATTTTATAACACCCTTTCAGATTGAGATATTTTAAATTAAGACATGATCTAGCAATTTCTTCGATAGTTTTATCAGTAATTCTACAATAGCTAAGGTCGAGTTGTTGGAGCCTTAGGCAAGAGCGAACAATATTACAAATTGATATTTCAGTAATATCTATGCGGTAAGAAATATTTAGATATTCTAATTTAGGGCATGACCGAGCAATTGCACATAGACCTTTATCATTTACCATCCCACTATTATAGCTTATGTACTTATCCTTTTGCAAATTGAGATACTTTAGATTTGGATATGTTTCTGCTATTCGATTTAGTGTTTTATCGCTAAATCCTGTGCTAAAATTTAAATCTAAATGAAATATATTTGGGAATAAGTGCACAATGTCATTGAATTTTTTATCTGAAAGTGGATGGTAGTGTGAAATTTCTAGATGTACTAGATTTGAGCTAAAAATCGGCTTTGGTCTTCTTCGTGCCATTTTCATAAATTTCTTCAATCGAGTGCAATCTTCTCTTTTACCTTTCTTTAGCTCGACACGTTTCCATAAAATAGGAGCACCGCATCTATACCATAATCGGGATACAAATAGAGCAGGATATAGAGATTTATCTATCGCTAAAAAATGTAAAATCTGTTCCAATAGTTCTGGTATAATAAAATTCTTGATTGCGCCATAAATAGTCTGTATTATATGTTATATCTTCAAACGAAAAAATAAAATAAATTAATTAGTATGACTTTCTAACACTTCAAGTTTAACCAGTCTATCTACTAGTTCATCTAAAGGAAGATCTAATCCACATAATCTTACTTCGAACTGATTT